GTGGATTCAATGGAATCACTAGGTTGTTAGTGATTCGGAATAGAAAGGTTTAGGATGTTGGTTACTTGATTATTTGAATTGGTTTCCATTGTTGGTTATTGAATTGTTGATTAAATGGATTGATTTGATTTATGGAATTGATTGGTTAAATTGCGCATTGTTTTCCGCTGAATGTTTGATTGTGAGAATTTAGCATGTTGAGNATTAGTATTTATGNGAATACTAATTCGATGNAAAAAAAAAAAAAATGGGTCGGGTTGTTTCAGTTATGTGACATCTAATTTTTTAACATTTAGTTTTTAATTTAATTATTGAATAAGAAAATGAAAATTAAATGTCTTTTAAAAACTTTAACAATTAGTTCTAACAATTTTATAAGTAATTCTTACGTAAATTAATTCTATATATTAAAATTAAGTGTGTTGTGTACATTTATGTAATTCATATGTAAATTCTTATGAAAATATATAATTTACTTATCAAATTCAAAAATTACTATACGAACACGTTTAAAATTTTGATTTTTAAATAGGTAATTGTGATTTAAAATGAAAAATAAAAATACTAAAGTCTGCTTGAGAAATTTAGACTTTTAACATTTTTTAAAATGTTTTCATAGCTTTCAAAGCTAATTTACCAATTACTCCCTAATACAATTAAAATAATTTATGTTGGACAAAGTAACCTTCCTAACCAAGACTATCAAAAGAAAACATTACTCCACCACAAATTATAAGTCTAAAAACAGAGAATCAGTTCACCAATAAATCGATGTGAAAGATAAAAATTACATCAAATCGACAAATAAAGTGAGACACAAATACAATGAAGCATCAAATATTTTTTTCTTATGATTCAAAATTCTAATGAAATAAACAAAATGATGCATTCTAACACCTCTGTTGAGATGATGCAGCTGTCTCGGTAGAAGCAAAATTTATTGTAACTTGTCTGATCAATAGATTTTTATAAGCGTATTTGATGCAAAAAAAAAAATGATGAGCAATCAGTTTTTAGGAAACCGTAGTGCATATAACATTGTATATGTATAACAATTTGCTACAAATGTTTAGTCTTCCAACTTAGATAATTGTTTACTATAAACACTAAATACACAAATAATCAATACACTAGAATCAATTGTATATTTTACCATGTTAATTTTTAAATCCTATGCAATACGTGGTCTTCCCTAGTTAACAATATTAGAAACCATTCAAAATAAAAGAATACGTCACACCATTTTTTTAAACATCCGAAAGTAACACCATGGAACTGAAAGTTCCCAATCACATAAAAATAATGAGATTAATTTAAAGTTACATTATATATCAGTACAACTATGAGAAGGTATTGGTTAGCAAAAAAAGCCTATGAGAAGGCATTGAACTTTCATGTGACTATATATACATGAATGTATAGCACAGTTTTAAATATTCTACCAAAAATAAACTTCTTTAATTGGTGGTCGATGAAAGTAGAGGAATAAGTTAAAATGAGAAAAAGATGTCG